TTCCGGAACAAAACGTCTACATGCATAAAAGGATTTCAATATAACATGGCACGAATGTTCGACATTGTGAGGCGGAGTGTGGTGTGTTAAATTAAGGTCCCTTCGGCCAAGGTCAAAGTTCTGATAAAAATATCAAAATGTGTATTCGGACCAGTGAGTCATCATTTAGTGAGGGATTGAAACTCGAATGGTCATTATCATAACTACTGGTGTGAAACATGTAATTTAAGTTAATATTTGCAAGGTCAAGGTCACTAGAGATGATAAAATATCCAGACATTTTTCGGATCTTTCCGCATATCTATAAAGCCCACATCTCTGTCAAAATGTTGTGACGGGCGTATTTTGCGACAATTTTGCCCTTGTAAATTAATAGTTAACTGATGAATTCTTTTTATAGGTTAACTACAGAAGTTTCAGATACAATGTATATTATGTCTATTTCCAGATTTTCTATATACTCTTGACAGAATAGAATACATGTATTCTTTTATTTCCAATCATGAGCCATTGCTGGTAAAGAGTCTGATTATCACAAGTAATATCATACATGACCAAACATGTTTAACAAGAGTAAAAATTACAATGTATACTGTACAAGTATAATGAATCTGTTGATATGCATCATTTTGATACTTTTGCTCATTTTATTAGAGTATTGCTGATTTTAATTAATTTTTGATATTACTGACTGTGTCACATCTGAGCACAGGTTATAATTAAAGCAGGGCCTTCAAATATAATTTCTATTTAAAAGACACTGTTTAAAGTGAAAGTGGATACATGTGTAGTTCAATCTTGTACAAAAAGAAATGAGCCGCGTCACGACAAAACCAACATAATGGGTTTGCGACCAGAAAGGATCAAGACCAGCCTGCGCACCCGCGCAGTCTGGTCAGGATCCATGCTGTTCGCTATCAGTTTCTTTAATTGTAATAGAGTTCGTAAGCGAACACCATGGATCCTGATCAGACTGCGCAGATGCGCAGGCTGGTGTGGATCCAGGCTGGTCGCAAACCCACTCTGTTGGTTTTGTCGTGACGCGGCTCAAATGTGATTTGGAATCAATTTGTGTTTCTTTGAATGCATGGGTATATATACTTCGATAGAATGACTTTTTGATTTGTTTTTGACATAATCATAACATGAGTTATATTTCTTTGACATTTGAATATCATTTATTCAAGCTTAGTTTCTTAAGATCGCAGTTACGACCGTCTTGGTTGATAAAACGGCACCCTGGTTAATATGCTATACATTTATATTTCATCTGCATATATAATTAATTTACTTTAACCTGTAGATTATTTATATATATATATGTCATATGCATACACTTATTGTGCATTTACTTAATTAAATAGAATGAAATTAAAATGCAATATTATAAAATAAAACAGTGGTTCATTTATTTTACAGGATACATTGACAGGGGTAAGGAAACTTGCAGAATTTCTAGGAGTTCACCATAGTGACGAACTGTTACAGGAAATTTCAGATAAATGTCAGTTCCAGCATATGAAGGAGCGATATTCCAAGAGCATGCTGGGACCCAGTCTGTATAAACCGGAAGTTAAATACGGATTTATGAGAAAGGGTAAGTTTAAATTATAGTTCAAAAATATTACACAAATGTAGTTGAATTTGATAATATTAGGTAAAAGCTTGAGAGTTACTTATATATATTCAAATTCTTATTAAGAAATTTTCTGACTTATGAAACATTTTTACTTTTCACAAACCATATGTTTTTAAACCAAGACCGTTTAAGTAATAAAGTTTCTGTTCTGTTAACGATTGTCTACCAGTAAATAGTATTTTTATAGTAATTTTTCCCGAATTGTTTCAGTGCCAGCCTGCCAGGTGTGAATTACAATCGCTCCTTTCTTTTAAAAAAGTAACAAATCAATTGCATCAACTTTGGCAAAATAAGGTTTTAATAGGGAAAGTCATTATATACTATTTATTTCCAAAGTAACGAATCTGGAACCATACGATACCAGTAATTTTTTTTCAACAAGAAAATTGTTGAATGTAAAAGAGATAGTCTGAAGAAATTTTGACAGGTTATGTGGCCGTATTAAAACGGTTGTTTACATTATATAACCCAAGCCGCTAGGCGTGGGTTATATTGTAAATAACTATTTATATACGGCCATATAACCTGTTGGAAATCATTTTAAAGAATTTGTAATACAGCAAACTTCCTTTTTAGAGAAAAAGGTGTGTTTCTTCTTAAATTGAGATCAGTCTTTTATATTAACGTCACGATTTTACCAATGAAAAGCGACGTAAAATACAAACGGGAAATATTATGAGAATAGTATGTTGAGTTACTCATATTTTTTGAACATGTATATGATTTCAGGGCAAGTAGGTAACTGGAAGGATTGGTTTACAGTTGCCCAGAGTGAGGAGGTAGATAGAATGGTATCTGAAGAAATGAAAGACTCAAATTTCAAGTTAATCTATCAGTTGTGACACCACGTGCACGTAATCATAAAATCATCCATTGTGTAGATCTTTATATACTTGTTTTTAGTACTGTTACTTTTTTTGTTAGAACTATTAATTATCAGGAAAATGTAATTTTGCAAACAGAGAGATTATATTTGCTATGATACTACATGGAACATATTTGTTGTTATTAATGCAAACATTTTCATTAATGATTTTGCGCATTCCTATTGCAGAAAAAATAAAATCATTTTCTGACAAAAAGCAAAACAACTACAAACCTAATCCAACATTTGATTTGAAATAAATTTAACTAAAATCAACGATTAGCACACAACAAAAAATAATAATACTATTCTTATGCTCTAACAACGCAAATGTATGGCCCTTTCGGATATGTATACCGGTACCGTTGGCCTAGTGGTTAAGGCGTCCGCCTTCGGATCGGGAGGTCGAAGGTTCGAGCCCCACGGGGAGCGTTAATTGAAGGATGAATGTTTCTCGTGGGACTCGTTCCGAAATGGCCGCTTCGTGAGCCGCGAGGTAGTTAAAATGAATGGCAACCGATTTCTATCCGCCTGGCGCCTGGCATAGTGATAGGAATTGGGAGGTACATGGTATGCAAGCAAAAGGTGTCTCATAAGTCAAAATGGCTGGCCCTTTCAGTAGGGGTGGCACTATAATAAACAAGACCTTTACCTTTACCTTTACCTTATATGATTATGAATAATTGGCGAGGTGTTCAGAATGATTTTCTTATTGGTTAATGCCAATACTTCTTCTGAAATTTGTCAGGATGCAAGCGTACAAAAATTGTGATAACACGAAATGACTAACGTCCTAAAAGGTTCGAATGGCAGAGGTGTTATCAAAATTATACGCTTTGCACCCAGTTGACAAACAAAGTTTCCTGGTACCGTTCGTGGATAATTTCATGCACAGACCAGTGCCTTTTCACTACATTTGTGTTACATGGGCCCTATAATGGATCATTCCCATTTCAAGTAGCCCCCTTCAAATGCCAAAATACCAACTTCACATCTGTTATAAATGACAATTTCACAGTCGTACATATCTTCGATTGCTGCCACAAAATTGTTTTAAACAACGCCATCTCAAAGTACATGTGTATACTTAACCTAAAATATTCCAAGTTGATGAACTCATAGTTATTTTAACATTTTTGTTGAAATATTTCGCGTTAATGTTTTATCTTTAACAAATAAAGATAAATCATTAATGATGTAAATTGTTGGGGTTTTTTTTCACAATTAAGATTAAAATCTGACTTGTTCCTTCACAATTGTAAATTAAAAAACGCTTAAACTTCACAACTACAAGAAAAAATGCACTTGTCTCGACAAATAAGAAAGACATCGATCCCTTCACAATATAGGGGGAACCAGTCCTCCGAACAACTTACATTTTAGTTGAGTAATCAACATTGCTTAAGTTGTGGCGTCACATTTACAAATAAAATATTTCAAAGTCGTGGGATTCAAACTACTGTGGCGACAGACAGGCGGAGCACTGCATAAACGTACTGAAACTGCCACGTTGTAATACATTATAATTATATTATTCCTATTGAGTTTTTATTTTATTCGTATTTTGCTTTTTAAAGCTGCATGCCTCCAGATGAGCAAACAATATTTCAAGAATATCAAACTTGAGAAAAATATACTTAAATTTTGAGAAAAGTAAGAAGATTCGATATTCTTTAAATATTTGTACATTTTATATGCGAATAATAACTTAATTTGTCGTATTTCAACACATTTCTACTTTGATACTAACGCAGTAAGCGCTAATTTTTGCATATTTTGACCTCTTTTCCTTGGTAATTTATGTGGATTGTAAGTGCTCCTGTGAAATGTGTAAATTACTTTATTTTGTTAACTTCACAAAGTTTTACTTTAAATATAATTTACAAAATTTTGATGACAAATAAGTATCAATTTGGAGGCATGCTGCTAAACAACATGGTGGTAGATAACCTGAATCTGTCTCAACTTGATAAAAGAAGACAACCCGATAAATAAATATTACCTTGAAGGAATACTATCCTAACAGTAACGAACGTCGAAACGTTTACAACGTCAGCCACGTCTTAATTTCATACACAAATGTGCTTGTATTTGTTTATTAAAAAGTGCGTTTTTTCACTCTCTTACAGTCTCAGTTAAAAGTTTCTCGTTTAAAAATACGTTGATATTATTTTATTTCGCTGACCGTTAAAACATTGACCTTGCAAGGTTCATCTAAGGTAAATTTCAGATAAAAAGCGGCGACGAAAATGCCAACTTGACATATTAGTCCTTTTAACATATTCCTTAAGATAAGCTACGGTTGTAAATTACAGTGTTAAAATACATTGTTTTTATGAGTGTAGTGTTACAAGTCCAATGATAAACTTAGATAAAAGGCTCTTTGATAAATACAAAAATAAAAACACGTTAGGTCGAGTTTCATTTATCGGTAAAACACACACACGAACTGCTGTTATATACCGCACGGAAATTTCATTACCATCTGTGACCGAATTAGTTGAGTCACGCGCTCTCCGGATTAATGTGTGTTTACATTTGCGTTCGTCGAAGTATAAAAATGAGAATTGCGAATTAAGATCCGCATAATTATATTTTTTCCGGAGACAATGTTCGCGTGCAGTGCTTTATTCAGTTAAATTCCTTGTAAACCGGAATACGGTTGATTATAATATACTTATAATATATGTGGGGGAAATGTATGCTTTAACTTACAGGCTATATTATACTATATACTAGTGATTGTGTTTTACTATAATATAGGTTACTGTTTTACAGTTATATAATGATATATAGGTTTATGCAAAGTAACAATGTACCGACATAAGAGGTGCTGTTTAAATCTTCGGATTTCTTAATTGTAGTGGCTTAAACTTAAGTTTGTGGAATAAATTCTTGGATAAACTTTGTACAAAAAGTGAAAGTAAAATAGTTTTGAAAAAAATGGCCGGGTTAGAAAGAAAACGTTTGAAGGAAGATAAAGAAAGAGCGTTAAATTGGAAACGTTGGGGTCCCTACCTGTCGGAGCGACAGTGGGGCACGGTGAGAGAAGACTACTCGGAAAATGGGGATTGGTAAGTAACTTGTATGTATATACATGTATACAAGTTATAATAAAGCGACCTTGACCTTCCCTGGTTAAGCTTAATAGATTTACATCTTCAATTGGATCCAGAACTGCAAGTGTTCGTAAATTTATAAATAAGAAAACAGATATTGTATTTAAAGCAATCTACAATACGACTTGTTGTTAAATTTGCTTTTTATTTGATTGATAAAACAGTGAGTGCTAAAAGGCGAGTTAAACAGTTTAAAACTCGGTTGTGTTTACCTACAGCGTATATTGACATTTCAGTGTCCTAGATTAAAGCCTCTTTCACCATGTGTTTGGTACATAACACACAAAAAATATAGTTCAGTGACAAAGAAATGTGTTAATTTGTCAATAACTAGTTTAGTGTTGGCATTTCTGCCATGTCCCTGGATCAACTTGCATGTAAGCTGACATTATTAATCATTTAACTAGTGCGGTTATATGCAGTGGCGGATCTGAAAGCAAACTTTTTGGGGTAGCAGATAGATTTACTGTTCCGCGTTAGTTGACAAGTTAAATAGAGAGAAAGTTAAAGATATTGTCAAATTTAAAATTAGAAAACACTGATAATTGCAACACAGTCTCTTTGTAACTATAAAATAAACATGTTTTGACTTCACACAAAGTAGATACATGTACGTATGCCATGTTTAGAATTTTACACACTATATAGGTCGTCACAATATGAATATATAGTGTCATTAAAAAACTGGATTTTTTTTAGAAAAAGACCAGTTACTTGACCTGTAATATAATAATCCCAGCTTCACATACATAGATTATCAAGTTAGACATACCAATTAAGAATTTTATAGTTTTCAATAAATTTATAAGATTAAAATATTTTACTCAAGGAGGAGCATATAGTTATCTTAAAATAAGGAGGAAAGAAAATAACTACTAATTATCGTCGACTATCAATTGCATTAATGTTATATTTTTACCAGAATTAAAATCTTTTTTGTCAACAATTTTGGCAGTGTACTGAACTTAGACGCTATATTTTGTCTCCTATCAATTATTTTCATCTACAACATATTATGTAAATGATAACATAAAACATATGGTCCAAACGAGTGTGTGAAGAAAACACGTTATCTTACCTGTTAAAATGCTTGCAGTTTCTCAACTTCTATTACATAAATGTTCTGGAATAATGAAAGGTAAAACTATATGTACACCACAGACGAATGTATCTTTCATTGGAATATCTGTGTCGTGAGGATCATATAAACTAACTATCATTAGTCAGGCGACGTGACATTGAGCCAGTATTGCAATTTACTTAGAATCATTGCCGCTGAGTCGATCGATTCTTTACTTCAAAGCTCAAACTTGGAAACAAAGTCTTCATTAATATCCTCTTTCAATAGTCTCTTACTTACTTAGACTTACTTTTTTATATAAATGTCGGCTATTAAGTGCATGCAACAAACATTTTCTTTTTTATCAAAGTAATAACTTTTGTGACGCATTTGCCGAAGTTATTGAAATAACATAATGTAGGAATGTAAACGAATGCATCATTGCTAAAATTAATTATATGTACTGCAAAACTATTTACTAAGTCGTACCCCTCCTCATTAAGACAGCAGCAGACGTACATATAACTACGGTGTTCCGTTGGGGCCATCGTTTCTGAAAACATAGCAGTAAAAGTCCAAAAAACCCTTAATCTGAGAGTTGGCTTTCACAATGTTTTACGTAGTGAACCAAATAAGAATTGGTGGCTTGATACTGTTTCTTAAAAGACACCGGAAGGTCTGATAATACATGTATAATGTAACAAAATCGAATGTTAAAAAAAACGGCAGTTTTTGGTAAATTTTTTATATTAAAAAATGATGTATGTCATATTAAGCGGTTCCCATACATGAATAGACATAAATAAACTATTTGACTTGACTTGTTATTGGACTATCAAATACTATTTGACTTGACTTGTAATTGGACTATAAAATGTATCTCAGCAGTGATACAGTAAATACCCTTGTAGAATGAAGGTAATCAGTTGTGTCACTAACATAACCATGATTTATTCAATTAACAATTGTTTTTGTTGTGTTCCTGTAGTTTTTTGTTGTTTTTAATACTTATATACGTGTTTTGAGATAAAATGTAACATTGATGAATTATATACGATCCGTGTCAGGGTTAAATACAATGTATATACATTTGTATTTATGTGTTTTTATATCTGTGAGCCGTGTTTCTTCACAAGTTATAACTCTGATATGTAATCAAATCTGCAACGTTGCAATTTGTAAGTTTATCAGAACATGTAGATTGGAACAGAATTTCCTTCAAAACAGGAACATGGGTTTAATGTAAAACATCAAAGACCTGACAATTTCGTTATTTGGTTTTACATCTTGTAAATAGAATACACTTTGTCTTCTTTTTTTCAGTAATAAAACCAAGTTGGTTTACATAATATACTAAATTAGGATGTGATATATGTAGTAGCCTGTTTATTAACTCATTAATGAAAAGTAACGCTATTTTTTTATTCACTACAATAAGTCTTGAGGATGGCATATTATTTAACCTAAACCAATGTCCGAGTGTAGATCGCCATTGTCTTATCCGAGGGGATAGCCATCCCATGTCGCCTGTAACTGCGTCGTTCGGAGTATATTTGCCTACACCAAGGAAGAATCTGCAGGCACGATGGTGAACTGCGTTTATCGCTGAGTATTCTCGGGTTCCCCATATTGCTACTCCGTAACTGATCACTGGCCACACAATACTGTCGTATAATTTAGTATAAACTGCATATGGCCAAAAGAAGAAAAGTTCAAACGCATTTTATCCCACATATTATAAAAGACCCTCAGGTGCACACTTTATTCTATACAAATACACAAATACCATTGGATGGTTGGAGAAAAAGGGTTCTTGCAAAAGTATTAAAATATCTACTATTTCTGCCAGAAAAAATAATTAATGTTTATCTCTTTGCTTCGCCAAAAATTAATCTATGTAAACCACTGAAATAAATCTCGAATCAATCTATGTAAACTACTCATATCAATCTATGTAAACCAGCTCTACAGTATTTTGAACGGACATTGAAAAGATCTAGACAGTGCGTTAAGGTTTAATATATTCCGCGAGAATCACATAAAATAACTATCATTTGCTAGTCCCCCGAGATGACATTAAGTCTGCTTATATTGTTGCTTCCATTAAAGTAGCTCTGCAAACTGAAGTGCTTTCAAAATGTATTGAAGCAGTTTTTGCTCGACTATTCAAAGAATAGCGAGAGCTATGATACTCACCCAGACGTTGGCGTCGTGCCGTTTGGCATCTTCAAAACTACTATAGCAAGGTCAATACATCACTCATAATAGGAGGTCACTGTCCAAAGCCCATAACTCGAACAGAATGGTGGCCCTTTTTATTATTCATACACATTTTTCATATTTACGGTACCACGTTAAAAATAAAGGCTAACGTTCGTTTACCTTTTTCCTGCAATGTGTGTTCCCATTTCGAGACAGCGTGTTAACATTTACTCTGAGAAGTGTAATTTATTTGAAAAAAAAAGATCATTCATCCTAACTTTGAAGACAGTAAAAGATTACTTAAAATGTCTGAAGTTAAACGCTTTTCATAACAACATAACATTTAAGGTGTAACTGCTTTAATACATTATATAAACCTATGCATGTATGTTATTTAAAAAAAAAAACATGTTGTATAATTCAGTATAATTCAATGTGGACGTGCTAGTTTTTATCTTTAAATTTATATACAATGTACTATGCCAGTAGATTGCCAGATAAAATGTTTCATTGACAAATTGATATACCTTACATGTCAAGGTTATATCCTATCTCCTAACCGTGTTTCTTTGAGTTAATACTACTGTGTATATGCAAGTTAATATGCAAGTTAATATATAGAAAGTTAAAGAAAGACATAAAAATGGTTTGTGTTAAGGCACAGCAGTGATTACAAAAGCCAATGGAAAATAAAACACAAACCCCTCCCCCATAAGATTGACACTGTCTGCTAACTGAGAAGATTTAAATTAAAACATGTCGCTTAGAAGCAAATCTGAAAAACTATGAAAGTTTTTATAAAAACTCCCAGTATATAAAATGCGTTCTGTACAAAAAAAGTACCAAAGACATATCATGCTTGTAGAGGATGGTTTAGCGTTTGTCATTACCTACTTTTCTCCTGGAATATTTTTGTTGTTGTTTTTTTAGAGATCATTTTGTTACTGACATTATAAATCATAAAAAACTAGTGAATACGCAGTAGCGGATCAGAACGCCAACAGAATTATGTCGGTGAGCTCGCGCGCTCTAGTCACATGCAAAACGCATGAATGATACATTTTTATTAGAACCCTATAACTTTATTGTCGACTTTGGCAGGGGTAACGAAATAACATAATGTAGGTATGTAAACGAATTAGAATCTCCGCAGGAATTCTAATGATTGCTAGAATTAATTATAAGCAGAACTATTTACTAAATGGCATCCCTCTGCAACAACTATAACGACAACAACGTGTCAATTAACAACGTACCTGTTAACTTATAGATCAATCGTGTTACAGGGGCTTCTGACTTTTTTTTCTGGCATGGAAAGTCGCCATGGGACATTTTTAGCGTCTGGTATTCTTTTCTTATAGTAATCGAGTATCCATTTAAACCTCAAAGGAGCTCAACAGAGGTACAAAATCCTAACAAACCCTACATAGATCATTTTGGCTATTTAAAATGGAAAAACAGGAAAAAGATAGTAAGAAAATATACTCGGGAATAAATAGAAAAATCAATATTATGTTCGAGTCTGATGTGAGTTTAGTGTTCAAACGTTTTTTCCTTTTATTTGTTATTGATATGCACAAAACAAATTATTATTCTTGAAAAGCAGAGTGAATGGCCAATAACATTTTTGTGCTCTTTTAAACTATAGGACAGTATTTTAGCAGTTTGCATGTTTATACCAGAACGAAGTGAT